TCAAGAGGTGAAAAAGGTGAATGACTTATCTAACACTTATTTTTGGACATGAACTCTGTATTTTTTTCAGTGACCATGAGGTATATAAAATAGGAACCACTGGATTTATTAAAGGAATAAAAATTAATAAAAATCACAGCACTTTGGGAGGCTGAGGCGGGTGGATCACGAGGTCAAGAGATCGAGACCATCCTGGTCAACATGGTGAAACCCTGTCTCTACTAAAAATACAAAAAATTAGCTGGGCATGGTGGCACGTGCCTGTAATCCCAGCTACTCGGGAGGCTGAGGCAGGAGAATTGCCTGAACCCAGGAGGCGGAGGTTGCGGTGAGCCGAGATCGCGCCATTGCACTCCAGCCTGGGTAACAAGAGCGAAACTCCGCCTCAAAAAAAAAAATAAATAAAAATTAGATTGGTAACTATGAACACTGTAAATTAAGTGCTGATCAGTCAAGAGAAGAGGGGTCAAGGGGAGCGGGAGCTTCCATGGGGAAAGGAGGTCGGTGGACTTCCAGGGGGAGGCGGGAGCTTCTTGGGGGACAGCTACTTGGTGCCATGCTCCCAGGGCCAGGCAATGTGGATTAGATGAGTTGAGTCCCAGTGACTCCAGATTTTCTTTTCTTTCTTCTTTTTGAGATGGAGTCTCACTCTGTTGCTCAGGCTGGAGTGCAATGACACCATTTCGGCTCACTGCCACCTCCGCCCCCCCCGGGGTTCAAGTGATTTTTCTTGCCTCAGCCTCTCAAGTATTTGGAATTACAGGTGCCCGCCACCGTGCCTGGCTAAGTTTTTTGTATTTTCGTAGTATTTTTAGTATTTTGCTATGTTGGCCAGGCTGGCTTAAACCTCTGACCTCAGGTGATCTGCCCGCCTCGACCTCCCAAAATGCTGGGATTACAGGTGTGAGCCACCGTGCCTGGCCGACTCCAGATTTTCAAAGTCCTGGTTGATTCCTAGGTCTCCAACCCTAGTAAAAGAAGCCTTTTTACAGGCTTTCCCTCTTTGCCGTCTTCCTTTTTGTATGAGCTGGGTTTAGTGGGGAGCTGAAGCAGTCAATATTAAAGTTTAATTTTCCCCCGAAATAGAAAAGTTGTGGTTGTCAGGCTCGTTTAAAGAGATTCAGGCCATCCTGCATGGTGTAAAACAGGCAGCAACTCTGCTTTCATTTCCAAACCTCAGGTTTAGTTTTGAAATTGTTTTCCCAGGGAGTTCTGAAGGCTCCACTGCGTACAAAGATACTTCCTTTGAACTCTGAAGAGGTTGGCCAGTTTCCTTCATGTGCACCACAAAGCATGGAGGAGAAAACATACAGCTCAGGTTAGGTAAGGTTGCCTCTGTCTGTCATGTTAGGGAATATGTCGAAACTCACGCGCATTCCGTTAATCTTGGTTTTCCACACCCTGATCTTTCGGTTTCATCCAGTTGAGGTTCTAACGTGAATATCCCCATATAAAATCCTGTCTTCCCACTAGTTCCACAGACAAATCCTTTAGGAGTAAATGTGTTATCCAGTGTTTAGCCAGCTTGTCCAACCCGCCACCCATGGGCTGCATGTGGCCCAGGATGGCTTTGAAAGCGCTCAATGCAAATCCATAAACCCTCTTAAAACGTCTTGAGATTTTTTTTTTAAACCTTATGAGTTATCATTAGTATTAGTGTATTTTATGTGTGGCCCAAGACAATTATTCTCCTTCCAGTGTGGCCTAGGGAAGCCAAAAGATTGGACACCCCAGGTTTAGAGGTTTTAACTTGTGTTTATCATCAGACTGGCAGTCTCTTCTCTCTAAATGAGGCAGCCACAGGATCCTACTCAGGGGAAATTACTTTTTGGTTGGTGGTTCAATTCTTATTTCCTAGAATTAAGCTTAAGACTGTGCTGAGACTCATCACCTCCCTACCCACTGTGTTAGATGCTCTTTTAAGTGATCTGTGTAATAAAACAGAATTACTTGTTCAAAGCAAAGATACCTAGAGTCTCTGCCCTGTGCTAGGTACTATGCTGATTGCTTGGACCAGCCTGGGTTGGCCGATGGGGACTCCTGTCTGTGGAGACAAGGGCCAGCCACAGCATAAAGGTGAAGGTTCCAGATTGCCTGGCCGCATTTTCTCAGTAGCCACAGGGCCCCTGGAATGGCTGGTGAATATGCATGCAGTTTTTGGAGGTGCCACTGAGAATTAGCGTGGTGGGGCCGCGATGTGTGGACCAGAATTACGTGACTAATCTCCATGCTCAGCTGATAACATGTGATGGCCGGGAGAGAGGAAATGTTTCTATCTGGCATATGTTCATAGTTCTTCCAAGAGCTAAGCCCTTTGTTCTTACAAACACACTCATTGATCTCGCTAACTAAAGCAATTATCATCATTTAGCAGTCTTTTCATAAAGTATTATTTCCACTCCAAAACACCACTTTCATTTGCCAAGTGCCACAATGTTGCATCTTGGCAATTGATCAGCATTTACTGCCAAATTATGTAAGCCTTCGGTTAGGCTCAGTCCCCGACGGCGCAAGCATGTCTGTGGAGTGCATTGGGGTTGTAAATGTGGCCCAGAGCCTGTGAGTGGAGAACAGCTGTCCTTAAATTCATTAATTAATTCCGTGTTTACACTTTGATTGGGAAGGAAATCCACATTTGCTTAAGACACTAGCGCCCAGCTGAGAAACGTTGTTCTATGAAAATATTGGATTGAGGTTTGTTGTCAAGGAAATGTAAATTGCGGATGTTTCATGAAATTCAAATATGTGGATTAATTTACCAACACGGAGTTAAGACTGTATTAAGCCAAGGTGGCCTTATTCAAGGATTGAAATGTAATTAGTGTTGACTGTAGAAGGAGCAGCTATTCAAAAGGACTATAAATCCTACACAAGAATTTTACTAACAAAAGACGAAGTATTTTCACCGAAAAGTCAATGTCAGCATAAGAACTGACTTTTCTTATGACACTTATTGTTAAGTAAAGTAACCCCATTTGTAAATACCACACACAAAAAATTTCCCCTGTTTAAAAAGACTGTGAGAAACTTTAACAAATATGAACACTTCTAGAGATGCAGAATAGAATATGCCAGTGCTGCTCAGAAAAACAGGGGTTAAGACACTGGTTATTTTGGTCCCAGCCACCGGGCACCACTCTATAGCCTGCGGCATTTTGGCTGCACTGGTCCTTAGTGCTGAGTTCTTTTGTCATGTTAGCAGCCTTGTCAAACCGGTAAGTTGACAAGTTCATCTCTTCTCCAGAATCCCACTCAGATGATAGTAGAATTTAAACCTGCAAGAGGCAAAAAATGGCAGTAAAGGCTTTGGTGGCAATGCTTACAACACTGCAGGGGTGATTCCTGGGCTGAGGGATAGACCCCGCGACCCAAAGTGCCCACAGTGATGAAATGAGGTGCTTTGCCTGCAGAACCGCTGAGAGGCTCAGAAGTGGGAAGGCATTTGTTACCATAGTAGGCCAGAGAGATGGGCCAAATATAGGAGTTATTTTTGGTTTTTTGCAAGATTTTTTAAAATTGCATTTTAGGTTTAGGGGCACATGTGAAGAACATGCAAGATTGTTGCATAGGTACACATGTGGCAGTGTGATTTGCTGCTTTCCTCCCCATCACCTATATCTGGCATTTCTCCCCATGTGCTCTCTCCCCAACTCCCTACCCCCCGCTATCCCTCCCCTATTTCCCCCCAACAGACCCAGTGTGTAGTGCTCCCCTCCCTGTGTCCACGTGTTCTCATTGTTCAACACCCACCTATGAGTGAGAACATGCGGTGTTTGATTTTCTGTTCTTGCATCAGTTTGCTGAGAATGATGGTTTCCAGGTTCATCCATGTCCCTACAAAGGACACGACCTCATCATTTTTGATGGCTGCATAGTATTCCATGGTGTATATGTGCCACATTTTCCCTGTCCAGTCTATCATCGATGGGCATTTGGGTTGGTTCCAGGTCTTTGCTATTGTAAACAGTGCCTCAGTGAACTGACTCTAGAATAGAAAGAAAACTCAAACAGGCTCGCAATAGTGGGGAAAAAAAAAGAGAGACCGCTGCCATTAGTGACCAGTTGCTCCTGCTCTTCCTGGAGTCTTTGCTGTTGCGTTTTTTCACAGTGTTAGAAGTGAATTTCTGGTGGGGAACCTTGGAGGGCGGGGCAGGGTGAGTATCCTGCTTGGAAAGCTGTCTGCAGTCATCTGACAAGGGTTGGCCACACACCAGAAGGGCGATGGCAACTATTCTTGGCATCAGGACCCATCACAAAGTACAGAGCTCTGAGTGTTCTTCATTTTTTAAATAACATTTTCCAGATGGGTATGCTCTGGAACTTTTTTAGTAAGAGGAAAAGATTGAAAATGATTTATAATCATTTAATCTCACTGTCAATCTCACAAGCGACTGATTTCTCGACGTAAAAATTTTGGAGACACTATGTTCAAATATTAGTGTTAAAATTTTTGAAGCAAGATTGTGCATAAAAAAGGCTGAAAATGTTTTGAGAAGAAAATGAACAGCAGAGTAACAAAGAAAAATGGCGAGCACCAGAATTCCTTAGCTCTTGTTTTCATGGAAAAGTACGTAGTTCTCAAATGCTGGTAACTGGAACATCCTATTGGTTAAAAATAAACAGCAGAAAGTTTCAGGAAACCAACTAAACTTAAAAAAAACACACACACAACCAGGACAGCCCAAAACAGAATAATAAAGTCAGAATTATGAAGTTGTGCCAGAGGAGTCTGGTCATTACACCGTTTGTGTGCCCTCAGGCCAGGGTTCAAACCTGTTGTTGACAAATGAGGTGGCCACATGGGCTGAAGAGCATCCAGAAAGGCCTGCTTTGTCAGGGGAGGGCCGCCCTTCTGCACCTGGTTCTGAGGTGTCTTTGCTGTTTGAACTGTCTTGTTTTCTTTGACCTTTGAACTCCCCCTTCCTAATTATTTCAGTCTTCATTTAAACAGATGTAATTCTAACCTAATGTCCTCTTTTTACCCCATCTCTCCCTGGTAGCTGGAACAGTGAACCATGGAGCTGTATTTCGGTGAATATCAACATGTACAGCAGGAATATGGGGTCCATCTGAGACTTGCAAGTGATGATACAAAAAAATCAAGGGGTTCCCAGAACTCCAAGGCAGGCTCCTACGGTGTCAGTATTAGGGTCCAGGGAATTGATGGTCACCCCTACATAGTCCTGAACAACACGGAACGGTGCCTAGCAGGCACAGCATTTCCACCCCCAGTGATAAACAACCTGCCTCTACATTCCAGCAATGGTTCTGTGCTAAAGGAGAACAGTGAAGAAGAACTGCGGCTTCCAGAAAATCCATACGCCCAACGTAACCCACTAGGAAACCTGAAACAGCCCCCTCTCCACGAGGGCAAGAATGGAGTGCTGGATCGCAAAGAAGAGTCCGTGAAGCCATCTCCTGTCCTCAACTTTCAGAGGCATCCAGAGCTTTTGCAGCCCTATGACCCTGAAAAGAATGAGTTACACTTACAAAATCACCAGCCTCCTGAGAGTAATTGGCTAAAAACGTTGACAGAAGAAGGCATCAGCAATAAGAAGCCTTGGACTTGCTTTCCTAACCCTAGCAGTTCCCAGCCTACCAGTCCCTCCTTGGAAGACCCGGCCAAATCTGGTGTGACAGCTATTCGTTTATGCAGCTCTGTGGTCATAGAGGACCCCAAAACGCAGACCTCAGTGTGTGTAAATGTTCAGAGCTGCACCAAAGAGAAGGTGGGAGAGGAGGCCCTTTCCACTAGCGGGAGGCCCCTCACTGCCCACAGCCCACAGGCCCACCCGGAAACCAAGAAGACCAGGCCAGATGTGCTTCCCTTCCGGCGACAGGATTCAGCGGGACCCGTCCTGGATGGAGCTCGCTCCCGGAGGTCCTCCTCGTCGTCGACAACTCCCACTTCAGCCACCTCTTTGTACAGGTTTTTACTGGATGATCAGGAATGTGCCATCCATGCCGACAACGTCAATCGTCATGAAAACAGAAGGTATATCCCCTTCCTGCCAGGAACTGGACGGGATATTGATACGGGATCAATTCCTGGTGTGGAGCAGTTAATTGAGAAATTTGATCAAAAACCTGGGCTTCAGAGAAGAGGCAGGTCTGGGAAGCGAAACAGAATCCATCCAGATGACAGGAAAAGGTCCAGAAGCGTGGACAGCGCCTTTCCTTTCGGCCTCCAAGGGAACTCGGAGTACCTGACTGAGTTTAGTAGGAACTTGGGCAAGTCAAGCGAACACCTCCTCCGGCCTTCCCAGGTGTGCCCGCAGCGGCCGCCGGCTCCTGAGCGCCGTGGGAAACAGAGCCTGGGACGAACCTTTGCAAAGCTGCAGGGAGCACTGCACAGGGCTCCCCAGCAGAACACAGGCGGGAAAGTTCTGGAAACCAAAGGTAGTCAGGAAAGTACAGTGATCCGTGCTCCCTCCCTTCTTGCACAGAGTAAAAAGGAGGAGGACGTGAAAACAGCCACAGCTACACTGATGTTACAGAGCCGGGCGGCGGCAGCCTCGCCTGATTCTGGTGCCAAGAAAATCTCTGTGAAGACTTTTCCTTCGGCCTCGAATACTCAGGTAACACTAGTGTGATTCCTGTTTTTATTCTTTTTTTTCTTTTTCTCTTCCTTCTAAATAATCTGATGATGTACTCATGCTGCTGGAGACCCTGGGAATACACATCCTCAATTCTGTATCAGGAATCACACAGCTGATGTTTCAGCATCCAGTTGTGTCCGTCCTACTCACAATGTCCTACTGCCGATTGTAGAGTTCAGTGGGTTCTTTGAGGTTCAGCTGGATTCACACTGTGATCTCTGTAAAGTAACTTGGCAGATGTTATAGAGACGCTCAGTTTTTCTCTTGGTGTATGCGTGAAATCTGAAAGTATGCAGAATTTGTTTCCACACTGTGGCTGAATGGTTCGGTTTGTGTAGACATATTAATTTTACTCATAAAATTGAGTGATTGGGTTAATTTCTAGCCTGAAAAATTAGGTTAGTCTTCATTTAGGTTAATTGTCAGGTGATAGAATCTAAATGGTGCATTTAGTGTTTTGATGGTAACAGTAAATAATGATATTGATACAATGGTTAAAAAGTAGCTAAGTGCCAGGCACTGTTTGTCATATATCACAGGGCTCCGCCAACCCCGTGCAGGTAGAATCTATTCATCTCAATTTACAGGTGAGAAAACTGAGGCGAAGACAAGGTAAGTAACCTCCCCAGGATTACAAAGCAGGTAAATAAATATTGTAACTGGCTCCAAGGCGGATGCTCACTAGAGGCACTGTTTTTAAAAAGTAGAAATGTGTTTGGAAGCCTCTGGAAACTTCATCCTTAGGGTCTAACAACAGACCTTATGTTTCAGGCCACACCAGACCTCTTAAAGGGCCAGCAAGAGCTCACTCAGCAAACCAACGAGGAGACGGCCAAGCAGATTCTCTACAATTACCTCAAAGAAGGGTTAGTGATTTTCCCTCTGCAAGACCAAAGTATTGTTGTTTCCGTTGGGACTCTTAATTTCCCTGTCCGAGCACTGAATGGATACCTTCCCTTCTTGCGCGCTGGAGGGTTAAAACGCAGTGTTGGAGTTCTCATGACGGCATTTGTCTTATGTGCTATGGGGTGGGGGCTTTGGGAGGGGTGTGTAGGAAAGGACACCGTACTTTAAACACTAAAATGAACACATTTTAAAGATGACCCTTTACTGTTTCAGAATCACATTTAAAAGTAGGAAAAGTGTCTGCTCTTCAGGTCTGAGGAGTGTGCTGTCACCTTGAGTTCTTCCACGCATGCGGTGGTCCTTTAGAAGTTACAAATAAAAACACCTCCCCTCCCCAGAGTTAACTTTGGCCGGGAGCCCCTGCTTCCATTATTTTTAAAGCAGGTATGAGTTGCTTAAAAGCAGTGCTTTCCGTGCTTATCTTGGTAGCCGAGTTGGAGTAATCCGGGTTTCAGTCGTCACTTAGATATGAACTGTGCTGGAACTCTAGCGAGGAATTTGAAGTTTCTGTTTTAGTTCTCTCATCAGATATGATTAAGAAGAACGAAAAAAAAAAAAAAAAAAAGCTTTGCAACCTACATGACTGAAAACCAGCCAGCTGGCAAATCCTCACTGGTATCAAAATACTGTATATTTTTGTATTGTGCCTTACAATTATTTGTCAGTTTTAGAGCTAACAAAATAGTAAGGCTCAAAATGTAAGATAGGGGATCTTTTGAAAAGGAAAAAAAAGTAACCCAAAAGATTAATCTAGCTAAGAACTGATTATTAGTATCTCCCTGTGGAAGACTTTTCCATGTTAAGATTAAAGTGGAAGAAATTTTGACTTTTAAAATTCATTAGTTTTTCTGTTTGTTTGCTTTTTGAGACAGTCTTACTCTGTTGTCCAGGCTGGGGTACAGTAGCATGATCTTGGCTCACTGCAACCTCCACCTGCCAGGTTCAAGAGATTCTCCTGCCTCAGCCACCCGAGTAGCAGGGGTTATAGGTGTGCACCACCATGCCCGGCTGATTTTTGTGTCTTTAGTAGAGACAGGGTTTTGCCATATTGGCAAGGCTGATCTCAAACTCCTGACCTCAAGTGATCCGCCCACATTTGCCTCCCAAGGTGCTGAGATTACAGACGTGAGCCACTGTGCCTGGCCAAAGTTCATTAGATTCTTTTATATATTTATTTTTTGGCACATGATTTATTGAGACATCGGTAAGACGGTCTTTAGTGAGGGGTGCCTGTTGAGGGAAGTTTATCTTAAATATTTTTCTTCTAATTGCTGGGGTTGCGATAGAAGTAATAAACTTTGTGTCCGAGTGTTACCTGTGAAAGCCCAGAGAAAGGGCTGCCACGCTGACAATCTTGGCTTAGGGGTTTTATTGTTTTAAAAATAGGTTGAACGAATTAAGATCACTGTAGATCCTTCTTAGTGTAAAATTTAAGTGTACGATGTGTTTGTGTGTGAGAGAGACAAATGCACCTACTTCGAAGAAAAGAAGAAATCCTTTTGGTATGGACATGAGTCATTTGAATCAAACAATAAATTACCAAATGTCCACTGGATGTTTTCTGCAAGCTTGCTGAGAATGCGATTATGTTCTTCTCACATGTTTGGAAGTGGGAACGCCATCCCAAATTGAGTGGTAACACATAATAATTTATTTGAAGAAGACACCATCCATCTTGCTGTCACGCCGATTTTGTCTGAAGCTTTAATCGATTCATAGCTCTTGCAGTGTATCTCCTTAAAAGACCTGTTGTGTGTGTGTCATGATACGTAAAATGTTCTGAGACCCGTGGTTGTGTCCCTCATTGTTTTCTCTGCTGTCTGTTTTTCAGAAGCACCGAAAATGACGATGCCACTAAAAGGAAAGTCAACTTGGTCTTTGAGAAAATCCAGACCTTAAAGTCTCGAGCAGCTGGGAGTGCACAAGGAAATAACCAAGTAAATCCAAGTTTTGTGTTTTGCAGAGTGCATTTAACATGGGATATGGGGAGCAACTTACTGTTTCTTTAGTCTGTAAGTTTGTTTATAGCAGTAACTGGGAAGTTTCCTGAGTAGTGAGGAGTACTACTCCCCATGTTTTTTTTTTTTTTGAGACGGAGTTTCGCTCTTGTTACCCAGGCTGGAGTGCAATGGCGCCATCTCGGCTCACCACAACCTCCGCCTCCTGGGTTCAGGCAATTCTCCTGCCTCAGCCTCCTGAGTAGCTGGGATTACAGGCACGCGCCACCATGCCCAGCTAATTTTTTGTATTTTTAGTAGAGACGGGGTTTCACCATGTGGACCAGGATGGTCTCGATCTCTTGACCTCATGATCCACCCACCTCGGCCTCCCAAAGTGCTGGGATTACAGGCGTCAGCCACTGCGCCCGGCCCCTACTCACCATGTATTTAATGTTAATTTGCACCCACCCTTTTATTTTATTTTATTTTGAGACAGAGTCTCTGTCATCTAAGCTGGAGTACGGTGGTGTGCTGTTGGCTCACTGCAACCTCTGCCTTTTGAGCTCAAATCATCCTCCCACCTCAGCCTCCCAAGCAGCTAGAATTACAGGCATGTGTCACCAGACGTGGTTAATTCTTGTGTTTTCGGTAGGGTCAAGTTTTCATCGTGTTGCTCAGGCGGGTCTCAAACTCCTGGGCTCAAGCGATCCACCCACCTTGACCTCCCAAAGTGCTGGGATTACAGATGTAAGCCCCCGTGCTTGGCCTTACCCAGCCTTTTTTCCAGAAAGGTTTTAAGACATCTTATTTAAAAATAAATAGACTACAACAGGATGATATAAACAGATGGTGAAATTTAGAAGGGGAAAATAAGAATAAAACTAGCATTGCTGGCAAACATGGAAGGTGTGTGTGAACAGGCTTGGACCTGAGCTCTGGAACTTCAGGTGTGAAAGAATGGGACTAGAGGCGGGCGACGCTGACCTGCTGTGACGCAGGGGACAGGAAAGAGCTCAGTGGTGCCAAGTTAGTTTTTAAATAACTGCCTGTCTGATTGATTGTGCTGAATTCGAGTGGGGACTTTAGAGATTTTTTTGGTTAGGGAAGGAGCCCTCTGTGTTCGATAAACAGCTACTCTATGCCAGACACAGGGGGTGCGCTGGAAGGAAGAGGCTCTTAGGGTACAACAGTGGGCCGGGTGCGGCGGCTAACGCCTGTAATCCCAGCTCTTTGGGAGGCCGAGGCGGGCAGATCATGAGGTCAGGAGTTCGAGACCAGCCTGGCCAACATAGTGAAACCCCGTCTCTACTAAGAATGCAAAAATTGGCCGGGCATGGCGGCGGGCACCTGCAATCCCAGCTACTCGGGAGGCTGAGGCAGGAGAATTGCTTGAACCCAGGAGGTGGAGGTTGCGGTGAGCCGAGTTTGCGCCATTGCACTCCAGTCTGGGTGACAGAGTGAGACATTATCTCTTAAAAACAACAACAGCTCACACCTGTAATCCCAGCACTTTGGGAGGCCGATGCGGGTGGATCACAAGGTCAAGAGATGGAGACCATCCTGGTCAACATGGTGAAACCCCGTCTCTACTAAAAATAAAAAAATTAGCTGGGCATGGTGGCGCGCACCTGTAATCCCAGCTACTTGGGAGGCTGAGGCAGAAGAATTGCCTGAACCCAGGAGGCAGAGGTTGCGGTGAGCCGAGATCGTGCCATTGCACTCCAGCCTGGGTGACAAGAGTGAAACTCTGTCTCAAAACAACAACAACAACAAAAGCAGCTGCCAAATCGAGATGTTGAGAAAATGAACTGAGGCCCGTAGACTTCCAGCCCCCATGACAGTTCCGTGGCTGTTTAATTGCCGTTTCCCTGCTCCTCTTCCCTCCCTCTTAGGCTCCAAATCTGGTTACTTGCCGGCAAAGGTTTGGAGTTTTATCTTTGTGGCGTCACTTAAGTGATCAGGAGAGAACGTAAGAACCGTCTCCCTTAGGGATGGAGACGATATTGGAAATCCGCAAAGCACGTAGAGATTTCGTTTGGGAAATAACAGTGTGTAATTACCCTCATTGGGTTGGATTTAGACTTCTAAAATGGAGTGTTCTCATTTTGCCGAAGAAAATGAGTGTTTCTGATCCTCTTCACAGGGGTAGTTGGGGAAGTACCTCATTCCAAGTTAATCACACACAACTCACACCTGGATTTAGGGATGTGTGAGCCAAGATGCTGCTGTTTCTAGCTTTGATTTCTGCTTCTGTTTCTTCCCCTCAGCAATTTGTAGTTTTCTAACCACTTTGCTGTGGGATTTTAGCCAGATCCTTTTGAGAGAATCACCCTGTTATTTTCATAGAAGGAGAAAAAAAAAGAAGATCCATCAATATTCATACTCAGATGAGAGAGACGGTATTTCCTAGTAGACTCTCTTTAGTCAGGTTCCTTTTTGTTATGGAAATATAACATCTAAAAGGAGAAAGCCAATTTAGTAACATACACTTATATTTCTTGCATACAAGCTATGCAGAGAGGGATGGACTCTCATTGGTGGCTACTGAGCAATAATCTCTAGTGTAATGCACATTTTTAACAAATATGTGTATAAGAAGTCTTGGGAACACAGAGGTGGGGGCTTTGGGTGTAACGTAGCAAACAGATGAGTCTTCAAAAAATATGTTTTTATATTTTATTGGGGTGTAGTTTATATAAAGTAAATTACACAAATTCTATCTATTAGAGTTCATTGAATTTTTGACATAGGTTTGCATCCATGCAAATACCATCTAGATGAAGATACAGAATGCTCCCATCATGCGGGTCTCCTGGGCTCCTTCTCCATAAACTGTATCCCCTCCTTCTGGAGGTACTCATATTCTGATTTCTATTACCTAGAGTAGTTTTGCCTGTCTTGAATTTCACATTAATAAATCTTTACAATATGCATTATAGTATGTATTCTTGTATGTCCACCTTCATTTGCTCAACATAATATCAGCAAGATTCATGAATGTTGCATGTGCTGGTAGCTATTTTGTGTTGAATGTAGTTTTCTGTTATTATCAGTCAACGTCGTGTATACTCTTAGTGGTCATTTCTGGTATTTGGTTGTTAGGTATAATGCCATATTGGACATTTTTGTCTTTTTTTTTGTAAACACATTCACTCATTTCTCTTGAGAGTCGATGGGAGAGTATAACTTCTGGGTTGGAAATCAGGCGTCGGTTTACCTCTTAAATGTTGCCAAATGATTTTACAAAGTGATTGAAACAATGTACACTGCTACAGCAGTGCATGCCAGTCCCAGCGTTGGTATCGTCTGCGACACAGACTCTCTTCTGTGGCTTTGATCTGCTTGTCTCTCCTTGTAATGTACAGTTTCGTGACTGTAACGTAACCGAGCCTTGAAACCCGGTAGCTTTATTCTTCTTCGAGATTGCCTTAGCTCTTCTAGGTTTTTTGTCTTTCCATATCGACTTTTATCAGCTTGTTGATTTCCGCTAAAGCCCACAGGAATTTTGATTGGGTTGCGTTGAATGAGTAGTTGGTTTGGTGGCACTGCTGTTCTTGTTTGTGAACCTGAGCTTTCTCCCACCTATTTATGTCTTCAGCATCTCCCAGCACCGTTCCGTCGTTTTGTCGGAGAGACCTTAAAATGTTTCATTGAGATGTAGTCCCTTTGCACTACTGTTCATTCCTTTCTGTACTTCTGTGTTTCCTTCTCAGACTGGTTTCCACCAGGCTGGAAAACTATTTTTGAAAAATATCCTGGCCGGGCGCGGTGGCTCAAGCCTGTAAACCCAGCACTTTGGGAGGCCTAAGCAGGTGGATCACGAGGTCAAGAGATCGGGACCATCCTGGTCAACATGGTGAAACGCCGTCTCTACTAAAAATACAAAAAATTAGCTGGGCATGGTGGTGCATGCCTGTAATCCCAGCTACTCGGGAGGCTGAGGCAGGAGAATTGCCTGAACCCAGGAGGCGGAGGTTGCGGTGAGCCGAGATCGCGCCATTGCACTCCAGCCTGGGTAACAAGAGCGAAACTCCATCTCAAAAAAAAAAAATAAATAAATATCCTGTAGCACTTTTTGGGGGCGTCATTTTAGAATATCTGTCATTCGCTCTCAGTGTTGAGGAACTCTAGTGTGACGATTATCGTTTCATGAGTTTGAGGACATTGTCTTTTGACCCCAGTTGGCTCCATTGGAAAGCCGACCATCGTTCTTAGTGTTATTCTCTTGAAAGTGATGTGTCTTTTTCTCTCTCAGTGCTGTTAATATTTTACCTTTATTGCCAGTTTTTAGATTTGGACTATGATGTGTGTAAGAAGTGTCATTTTTCATTTTTTTTTTCTGGGATTCACTGAGCTATTGATAGGTTCGTCAGATTTGAAAAATTTTGGGCTATGATTTATTTGAATATTGCTTCTTTCACATTCTTCTGAATCACAGAAGAGCTGTCTCTCCCAGCTCTTCTCAGATTCCAATTACCTGTAGGTTAGACATTTTGATGGTATTCCTCCTAGCTCTGCTGCTTTGTTCGCTCTCTCTCTCTTTTCGTGTGTGTGTGTGTGTCTATGTGTGTGTCTGTGTGTGTGTGTCTATGTGTGTGTGTGTGTGTGTGTGTGTCTGTGTGTGTGTTGCATCAGATATTCTGGATATTTTCTATTGTCCTTTCAAATTCATTAGTCTTGTTTTTCGGCTCTCAGTCTTACTTTAAGGCGTATTCTTTTAGATGTCTTTAAGAGAATGTGGGTTTTTTTTTTATCCTTTTTTTAAAGGATGGTACTTTTAAGAACTTTTCTTTGGCTGGGTGTAGTGGTTCACGCCTGTAATCTCAGCACTTTGGGAAGCCGAGGTGGGAGGATTGTTTGAGGCCAGGAGTTTGAGACCAGCCTGGGCAACATAGTGAGATTCCCATGTCTACAAAAACTATATTTAAAAATTGCCAGGCCCGGTGGCTCATGCCTGTAGTCATAGCTGCTCAGGAGGCTGAAGTAGGAGGATCACTTGAGCCTGGAAGTTTGAGGATACAATGAGCTGTGATCTAGTGTGTTCTTAAATTTCAGATATTGTGTGTTGCTGTTTTAGAATGTCTACTTGGTTATATTTTTATAGAATCTAACTATCTCTAGAACTTCATTTTAAAAATCCCTTTGTTGGTCCAGGGGTGGTGGCTCACACCTGTAATCCCAGCACTTTGGCAGGCTGAGGTGGGTGGATCACCTGAGGTCAGGAGGTTGAGACCAGCCTGGCCGACATGGTGAAACCCCGTCTCTACTAAAAATACAAAATTAGCCGGGCGTTGCGGTACATGTTTGTAATCCCAGCTACTCGGGAGGCTGAGGCAGGAGAATTGCTTGAACCTGGGAGGTGGAAGTTGCAGTGAGACAAGATTGCATGATTGCTTTCCAGCTTGGTGACAGAGCAAGACTCTATCTCAAAACAAAACAAAACAAACAAAACTCCAAAAAACCCTTGGTCCATAATTGTTCCTATTTTTGAAATACTGGTTTCAGTTAATTTGAAGTCCTTATCTGCCGCCTTCAGAATCTGGGTCATCTCTGCATCTGTTATTGGTCGGTTCTTCCACCTCCTTCGCAGGTCCAGGGAGATTTTTAAATCGCGTGGTGGGCTGCGTGAGCGACGGGATACAGAGGTTCTGGAATGTGTTATCTCTCCCTGAAGAATGTTAAATTTTGTTTTGACGGTTAAATTACTTGCAGATTATCCTGATTCTTTATGGTTTGTTCTTCTAGGGATTACAGGGGGCGTCTATGTAAGTTTTTACCCTTTCTCCTAAGACATGACCATTGTTCCTTTCTCTGATTTCAGATGAATGCCAGAATGTCCACCAAGCTTTCTCTCTCTCTCTCTCTCACTCTCTCTCTCTCTCTCTCTCTCTCTATATATATATATATATATATATATATATTTTTTTTTTTTTTTTTTTTGACGCGGAGTTTCGCTCTTGTTACCCAGGCTGGAGTGCAATGGCGCGATCTCGGCTCACCGCAACCTCCGCCTCCTGGGTTCAGGCAATTCTCCTGCCTCAGCCTCCCGAGTACCTGGGATTACAGGCACGCGCCACCATGCCCAGCTAATTTTTTGTATCTTTAGTAGAGACGGGGTTTCACCATGTTGACCAGGATGGTCTCGATCTCTTGACCTCGTGATCCACCCGCCTCGGCCCCCCAAAGTGTTGGGATTACAGGCTTGAGCCACCGCGCCCAGCCTACTTTCTATATTTTTATTGTATTGAAACCATAGTGTGTCCCTAGCATTGGGCAACCTGTGAAGTTTTTGTTGGGTTCTTTGGCTCCTAAAAGCTCTTCTCTGCAGTCCTTTTGAACTCTTGCTTTGCTCATATACAGCTTAGGAATCATCCAAGAATCCAGGGAGTATTTATTGCAGGTTCTTGGAATTTCTACTGTGGAGCTGTCTCCTCTCTCGTACCCTGACCTTGAAATCCCTGTTGCTTACCATCTCTAACCTCCAATCTGTTTCCTTCATTAGTGAGTTGCCACTCTCTGGACATTGTTCTCCCTTAAATTATCAGACTTTATTTTTCAGAATAGTTTTAGGTCCACAGCAAAACTGAGTGGAAAGTGCAGTTAGTTCCCTTTTACTGCCCTGTCCCCTCATGTGCCCTCCACCACCGTTAGCATCACGCAGCAGGGGAGAACCTCCCATAGCCAGGGGACCCGTGATGGCACATCGTTATCACCCAGAGACGTCTGTAGTTGACGTTAGTGTTTGCTCCTTGTGTCGCACATTCTGCAGGCTTCTGACAAATGAACAATGGCGTGTATCTGTCGTCGCCGTATCACACAGAGCGGTTTCACTGCTCTGAACATCCTCTGTTCTGCCTGTTTGTTCCTTTCTCTCCCCTAGTCTCTGGCAACCCATGGTCTTTTTACTGTTCCATGGTTTTATTTTCTCTGGAGTGTTCTATAGTTGTAATCACACAGTATATCGCTTTTTCAGTTTGGCTCATTTCCCTTAGTAATGTGCATTTTTCCCATGCCTTTTTTTTTTTTTGAAAGGAAGTCTCTTTCTGTTGCCCAGGCCGGAGTGCAGTGGCATCATCACAGCTCACCGTAACCTCCGCCTCCCAGGCAGAAGTGATTCTCCTGCCTCAGCCTCCCAAGTAGCTGGGATTACAGGCGTCCGCCACCACACCTGGCTAGTTTTTGTATTTTCAATAGGGATGGAGTTTCACCGTGTTGTCCAGGCTGGCTTCAAACTCCTGACCTCAGGTGATCTGCCCGCCTCGGCCTCCCAGAGTGCTGGGATTACAGGCGTGAGCCACCGTGCCCGGCCTTCCCTTGCCTTTTGATGGACTGATAGCTCATTTCATTTTAGGATTGAGTATTATGTTCCATTGTCTGATATGCCAGTTTATCCCTTCACCTTTCAAGGGCATCTTGATTGCTTCCAAGTCTTGTCAGTTAGGAGTAAAGCTGCTATAAATATCCATGTGCAGGTTTTTGTGTAGACATGAGATTTCAACTGATTTGGGTAAACACCCAGAGGGTGACTGCTGGGTTGTGTGGTAAGAGCATGCTTTGTTTTGTAAGAAACAACCAAAATGTTTTCTAAATTATCTGTATCATGTTGCATTCCCACAAGCCAAGAATAAGTGTTTCTGTTATTCTGCATCCTTGCCAGCATTTCGTGTTGCCAGTGTTTTATATTTTGGCTATTCTAATCCGTATATAGTGGTATCTCATTTTTTTGTTTGTTTGTTCTGAGGTGGAGTCTCGCCCTGCCACCCAGGCTGGAGTGCAGTGGTGTGATCTCGGCTCACTGCAGCCTCCACCTCCCGGGTTCAAGCGATTCTTCTGGCTCAGCCTCCTGAGTAGCTGGGACTGCAGGCTTGTGCCACCATGCCTGGCTAATTTTTGTATTTTTAGTAGAGAAATGGTTTCACCATATTGGCCAGGCTGGTTTCAAACTCTGACCTCAGGTGATCCGCCTGCCTCGTCCTCCCAAAGTGCTGGGATTACTGTGTGAGCCACCGCACCTATTTGCTATTTCCTCATGACATTGTCTGTGCTTTTAAAATGTTGCTGGCTGTTCTGTGGTTTAGAAATGCGGTCATGGAGAGTCCAGGCTGAATGTGGGGATCATAACTCTCTGTTGCTTGCTTTTCAGTGCCTGCAAACAGTGGTTCTATATACTTTTGTCTAGCTTTCATAGTTTTTGCTGTGAGGGTGAATCTGATGTTAGCTACTCTAGCATGGCAAACCAGAATTCTAACAATCATTTATTGAGATGTGATTAGATACACGAGACTTGTTGGGTTCTTTAGATACAGAGATGCATAAAACCTGGTCCCTGACCCCCTACAGTTTACTTACAAAGAGATTTTGTTGCTGATTTTCTGCTAACCATTGACTTCTGGAATACAGAATTTATTATGGAGAGGTTTTTAAAGTTTTAGTATCCTAAATTTAATGCATTACTATCTCATACTAGTCTAGAGAATGCATTACAGACTTCTAACAAATATGCCATCTCTGTAAGTTTTAGTCCTATTGGACTCGTGTTGAGGTATCTGGTGGAATGATTCCTGTGGTTGGTAAATGCTGTGGAATAAAGTTCGCTGGAGCTCTAAGGGGGCCGGCAGCATCCGCTCTGCCCACCAAGTCAGAGAAGATTCCCTGTAGGGCTTGATGTTGGAATTGAGTCTTAAAATGTCTCGTGTTGTGCCTCATCTGTACTGCACTGATGATATTGGGAGGGGGAGATAATTAAAATGAAGCATCCTGAGCATTTGCATTAGTACATCTTACATCTTTGCAATTAATTATAGCCTTCGAATTCCGCATCTGAAGTCAGAGATCTACTGGAACAGAAAAACAGGTTGACCAAGGAAGTGGCAGAACTTCAGAGACAGCTGCAACTGGAAGTGAAGGTATCTGGTTTTTCCTTTGTATTTTTCCCGTTTCTGTCTTGGTTGATAAAGAATATTTTACTTGCATTGGGACGACCAGGTGAAGTGAAAGCCAGTTTTTTTCCCCCTCAAAAGAAACATTCCTCTAATCACTGAGTAAATCCCTCTGTATTTGGCTGCCGTTTTCCAAAGAATCTTTTTTTTTTTTTTTTAAATGAAACCAAAGCGTATAGAGACTGTTTGCTTAGACGAGTAAAAGAAACACAGTTGGGCCGGGCGCAGTGGCTCATGCCTGTAATCCCAGCACTTTGGGAGGCCGAGGCGGGTGGATCACGAGGTCAAGAGATCGAGACCATCCTGGTCAACATGGTGAAACCCGTCTCTACTAAAAATACAAAAATTAGCTGGGCATGGTGGCGCGTGCCTGTAATCCCAGCTACTCAGGAGGCTGAGGCAGGAGAATTGCCTGAACCCAGGAGGCAGAGGTTGTGGTGAGCCGAGATTGTGCCATTGCACTCCAGCCTGGGTGACAAGAGCGAAACTCTCACTCAAAAAAAAAAAAAAAAAAGAAAGAAACACTGTTGTATTTAGGCAGGCCAATAGGAAACTAAATGTGTATAAAACACCTGAACTCAGTCATGGAAATAGCAGAGTGAGGTTTAGCTGTGTTCGTGTTCTCTTTTACGAGTATTACAGTTCATTAAATAGAAATATTTGATGTTCCTTCTAGTTGAGAACTCCCATGCCTTGATTCTGTGGTTTGATTCAGTTGTTTAATGATGTGAGTGTGAAGATAGGGAGTCTGCTGCTTGAGAAGAGGGCTTCTGTGGGGTTACGTGAATGTACAGTGCAGGTACTTAACATCACACTGATTCCCGCTAGAATCAACAGAACGTGCAGGAAGAGAGAGGCAGGATGAGCGCAAACCTGGAAGAGCTCCGAAGCCAGCACAACAGAAAGGTGGAGGAGAACTCCACGTTGCAGCAGCGCCTGGAAGAAAGCGAAGGGGAGCTCCGGAAGAACCTGGAGGAGTAAGTGTAGCCTGAGAGCCTGTTGCCCTTCCCAGGTTCTCTGTACCATGTAGCCAGAACCTTCCTGTCCTTTTAATACTACCCAGCCTTCCAAGTATTTATAAAGGCGGCCGACTCATCCTTTTCTTCCTCTTATCCTTGTGAAATTGTGAAGCTCGCGGCACCTGTAGACTGACAGACAGAAAGGTTAGTAATTCTTAACGTTCTTTGTGCACCTTGAAGTATGCCTTACAAAATTTCAGCCCTTAAAGTGGACCTCCTAGCAGGTAAGTGGGAAGCAGGGGACACTGAGTGCTGATATTGAAAGACAGATTTTTTTTTTTTTTTGAGACGGAGTTTCGCTCGTTACCCAGGCTGGAGTGCAATGGCTCGATCTCGGCTCATTGCAACCTCCGCCTCCTGGGTTCAGGCAATTCTCCTGCCTCAGCCTCCCGAGTAGCTAGGATTACAGGCACGCGCCACCATGCCCAGCTAATTTTTTGTATTTTTAGTAGAGACGGGGTTTCACCGTGTTGACCAGGATGGTCTCGATCTCTTGACCTCGTGATCCACCCACCTCGGCCTCCCAAAGTGCTGGGATTACAGGCTTGAGCCACCGCACCCAGCCCTGAAAGACAGATTTAAAGGAGCCTGGGCCCAGTTTCTAAAAAGCATGCGTCACATGGTCTCCATGAGCTCTCAGCCTGTGCGTTTCATCCTGGATGGTGCTGGTGTTTGTGATGGGTGCTTATACGTACTCTGAGTCTACAGAGAAGGAAAGACAGGTCCAAGATGCCCCTGCCATTGTGTTGTATTAAGATCTGTGGCATCCAGGCACGGTGGCTCACGCCTGTAATCCCAGCACTTTGGGAGGCCGAGGCGGGTGGATCACGAGGTCAAGAGATCGAGACCATCCTGGTCAACGTAGTGAAACCCCACCTCTACTAAAAATGCAAAAAATTAGCTGGGCGCAGTGGCGTGTGCCTTTAATCCCACCTACTCAGGAGGCTGAGGCAGGAGAATTGCCTGAACCCAGGAGGCGGAGGTTGTGGTGAGCTGAGATCGCGCCATTGCACTCCAGCCTGGGTAACAAGAGTGAAACTCCATCTCAAAAAAAAAAAAAAAGATCTGTGGCAAGGGGATCTAAAACCAAGGTCTGAGAATACACAGTGTTATGACGTCCTGTGGGCATGACAGAAGTCTTTGGTGGAAAGTTAAGTGGGGCTGAAATCTAGGGGGAATGCAAGAAAAAGAGTACGTTGCATAATAAGAGCATTTGGTTGTCCTTACAATTTTGATGGTGGCGTTTTGCTTTTAAAACAATCATAGAGGCCCTTTGCAGGAAAGAATTTAGTAAGGGAAAAATCAGAAAATATAGGGTGTAGTGAAAGCTTTACAAAATAAAAAGGTGTAGTAGTTGGTGAGTTTGGTTCAGAGCAGTTTTGGAAATGTCTTTTTCATCAGGTGGTGGTTATTTTAGGGTTTGCAGGTCGTATAGTCTGCTGCGAACTCGGCTCTGCCATTGTATCTGGAAATGAAATGGCCACTCATAAATGAATGAGCAGGACCGTGTTCCAGTGGAACTTTCCAGTAACAGGCAGTGGGCGGAACTGGCCCACAGATCGTAATTTGCTGACTCTTCTGGTCTAGAACACTGGGATAGTGGACAGCGGACGAAGGGGTGGCTTTAGTGGGGGAAAAAAGGTTGTTTTTTGTCATTTCTTTCTCTTCTACATCCAAGTTCTAGTACCCTACCATCTCCTTTTGGGGAGAAAATGTCTTTGTATAACCATACCCACTTCATTTGAGTTTGATTTATCCTCTTGTTGGGCAATGAGATCATAGTGTGAGTTCTTCTCAGGCACCTTTTCAGGTTGGTGATCCTTGCTGGTGCAGAATAGAGAATGGGGAGGCTCCCTGGGGCTTCTGTTGCCCTCTGAAGGTCAGAAATCAGACTGGATGGAAATAAGCAGAGCCCAGGAGAGCCTCTCTAATAGGCTTCTTTCCCTGTCAGGCTGTTCCAGGTGAAGATGGAACGGGAGCAGTATCAGACTGAGATCAGGGATCTCCAAGACCAGCTCTCAGAAATGCATGACGAACTGGACAGTGCAAAGCGATCAGAGGACAGGGAGAAGGGGGCTCTGATTGAGGTAAGCGGGGCTGTGGGGTCAGGTGATAAGACAGGCCCCACTGCCTGGAAAGATGGGGTTGCCAGGCTTTGTGCACTGTGAGCCACTTTCTGATGTGCGCACCTGCTCCACCTGTGCTCTTACGATCTCATCTGTGAGTCACTGGATGCGTGTAACTTCCTCCGCTTGGGGTTTGCTATTACTGTGGGGTTTTATTATGTATTCTCTCTTTTCTGAATTAAATTATTATCTTGTTGTATTAGGTACACATATATGAAATTATTAGAAAGCAAAAATGTTGGTTTTGAATATCTGCATTTTTGGGGAGGGAATACATATAATTGAGGGTTGGAGGAAGACAGGACTTTGATCTCTGAACCCATTTAGCTGTTGGATATTTGCTGTAACATTCTCATACCTAGATTCCAGCATAGTTCTGTAAGTTACTTCTTTGTAAGCATGGTTTGTAGGAATAGCCCAACAAAGAGATGATATACAATTTAGAACAAAGCCACAAAGAAGAAGTCAAAACATGAAGGTACTTTGTTAATATTTAATTTTCTTTCTTTTTTTTTTTGAGACGCAGTTTTGCTCTTGTTACCCAGGCTGCAGTGCAATGGCGCGATCTTGGCTCACCGCAACCTCCGCCTCCTGGGTTCAAGCAGTTCTCCCGCCTCAGCCTCCCGAGTAGCTGGGATTACAGGCACGCGCCACTGTGCCCAGCTAATTTTTTGTATTTTTAGTAGAGACGGGGTTTCACCATGTTGGCCGGGATGGTCTCAATCTCTTGACGTCGTGATCCACCCGCCTTGACCTCGTGATCCACCCGCTTCGGCCTCCCAAAGTGCTGGGATTACAGGCGTGAGCCACCGCACCTGGCCTAGTAATATTTAACTTTCTACGGCTTCCCTCTTTGGACTTAGGTGTTTTCTCTGTCCCTTCCTTGGGACCAGAACTTTCTGGCTCTGAAGCCCCTGGAATACTCTTTAAATCTCAGGTGTCTGCTGTTTTCTCACTCCTTCCCTCCTCCAGTTTGGACATACTTTCCCAGGAGAGATTTTAGGTCCTGCTTTTAGGACTGATGCTTTCTCTTCCCGATGACTTGGCAGGAGCTCAGAGAGGAGCGACTGTGGCCACTGAGCCCAGGAGTTCTTACGAATCCATTTTTCACATGGGCAGAGGAGGGGAATTGTCTCTTGTCTGCACAGGACCGTCTCTCTCCACCTTTTCAGACCTTTTCTCCTGAGAAGCCCTCAGCCTTGTTCTTTACCAGCTGCTATTTCTCTTTTTACAAAATGTTTCCTTAAAACCCACCACATTCCTGGTATTATACTGCTTTTCATGGCAGGGTTTTCTCTCAGGGCTCAGAATTACAAAGATGAGAAAATATGTGTATTTATCACTGAAATCACATTACAACAATATAAAATGAAAATTTAAAAATGGGGGGTGGGGACGTACACTTATTTTCCTAATACTAAACAGTGATTTTTATTTCTATATTTTCTGTTTGCCTCCCTATCTCTTAATAGGTTTCATGTACCCATTTCTATGTAATATGGGGACAGTCATAATGGCCCTACAGTTTTGATATCTGCTTTCAAAAGTTAAGATGTGGAAAACGTTCTTTCTTACTATACTTTATATGCTTTGTATTTCATTTTTAGGAAGATAAACCACAATATATATAACCATTCTCCTACGTTTGTTTTCCCTTTTTTGCAATTATGAACAAAGGTGTGGGGAACATTTTTTACATTTATCCTTTTACGACTTTAAGAAACTTTTCTAAGGATACATTCCCAGAAATGATGTCACTGAACGATTTATGGCTTTCAGTAGAAGTGTAGCTTCATGAACAGATTTAAATAGCAGATAAAACGCTGTCGTGTTCTGTGATTCCTTGGGTGGACATTTTATTGGTTGTAAAAGGGAAAGATGTTATCTTACCTCTTGGGAAGTCTCAGAAGTTGCTGCTTTTCTCCCGTAACTGCCCCCTGTCACTGTGAGTTGCCCCTGATATCCCCTGTCCTTTTAGACTCTCTGTTTAGCTCACTTGCCTTGGACATTTTTTGTATCTTTCTTGTACTAGCCAGCTAATTCGAGAGCAGTCATCTTTGCTTCTTTCCCCATTTCACGTCTAGCACAGTGACAAGCCACAGAGCAAATGAATAAATCATTTTTTTGTATTTAAATTACCTTTAAAATGTCACTATTTTTTAGAAAAGGAATAATTCTGAAATGAACTGCATACTTCTCTTTCAACAGCCCATACTGCATCGCTATTAATGGAACATAGTTAGTGTATTGATTTCTTTATGTCGATAACGGGATAATGATATGAGGCTGTTTTGGTGATGTGTCTGGGGTAGAGCGGGGTACAGGAGGGGGCAATAGCACGTATTTACGCAAACCTGGAGTGGCCGTAGCCCGATGTTGCTGGCTTTCAGATTGCTTGTCTCTTCCCCATACCAGGAACTGTGTCATTTACTGCTGCCTTTCTGCAGGATGAGTTAGGGTGTAATTGGCTTCCCCATGCCCAAGTGGGTTTCTTTCACTCCAGAAAATCACCCTTTGTTTTTATGTTTGCTCTGACCTGTCAGCAACACTGAAACTAGGATCTATGGTTTTTATATCTCTAGTAAAACAGGCCCCGTCTCCTTTTCACTTTCAATTTATTCTTCATATCTTAATAAAAAGTGGCCCAGGGGAATTTGATAACAGGGTACAGTTGTGGCCAACTTTCCCATGGCATTTAGCTTGGAACAGACAGACTCTTAACACAATGGGCAGTTAACACTTAGGCTTTTGAATGATTGAAAAAGATTGAAGACCCAAGTTTTGAAAGTCCTGCAGATTTTGCATGAAATCTCTTTTAATATGTCACATTTTGTTAAATAACGTTGGGCCCCTGTATGCAGTCAGTAAAGTAACCTTAGGAAATGATAGGCTGCTCTGTCTATGGAGTAGCCATTCGTTTCTTTTTTTTTTTTTTTTTTTTTAATTTTTTATTGGATTATAGGTTTTGGGGTACATGAGCAGAGCATGCAAGACAGTTGCGTAGGTACACACATGGCAGTGTGCTTTCTTTTCTTCTCCCCTTCACCCACATTTGGCATTTCTCCCCAGGCTATCCCTCCCCACCTCCCCCTCCCACTGGCCCTCCCCTTTTCCCCCCAATAGACCCCACTGTTTAGGACTCCCCTTTCTGTGTCCATGTGTTCTCATTTTTCATCACCCACCTATGAGTGAGAATATACGGTGTTTCATTTTCTGTTCTTGTGTCAGTTTGCTGAGGATGATGTTCGCCATTCGTTTCTTTACTTCTCTAATATACTGGCTTTCACTTAAAAAAAAAAAAAAAAAAAAAGAGCCGGGCGCAGTGGCTCATGCCTGTAATCCCAGCACTTTGGGAGGCCGAGGCAGGTGGATCACGAGGTCAAGAGATCGACACCGTCCTGGTCAACATGGTGAAACCCCGTCTCTACTAAAAATACAAAAAATTAGCTGGGCATGGTGGGGCGTGCCTGTAATCCCAGCTACCCGGGAGGCTGAGGCAGGAGAATTGCCTGAACCCAGGAGGCGGAGGTTGCGGTGAGCCAAGATCACGCCATTGCACTCCAGCCTGGGTAACAAGAGTGAAACTCCGTCTCAAAAAAAAAATAGAATAAAACAGTTTTTTAAAAAAAGGAAGGAAGGGAGAAATAGTAGAAAATACTTTTTTTTTTTTAGCATAAACCATAAAATTGACCAACAATAGGTTGACTTTGTTATTCTTAAATATGTGATTCTGAAAATTGTTTTTTCAGCTCACGTTACAAAAATGATTGTAGAACAGCCTTCCATATCTTTTTTGTCATGAATGCTGACCTTCCATTCTGAGGGCAACAGGTCAACATGAGACAGTTTGCTAAGTGCCATGATGGTGGGGTTTTCTCATTATCAAATGTCTTCGATGGGAGCCTGCAGTGCTGAGAGATGGGCCTCACTCCAACAGAATCTGTGGTGTTTTATTCCTGGCATTCGCCAAGATGCAGGTAGTCCCGTCTCATTAAAATAGTCTGGTTATAGAATTGCATTGGTTTGAGGAGAGATTGTGCTCAGAAATTAGTCCCCTAAAACATCTTTTGTAATGATATTACTGAATATTCTACACCTTTTAGTAAAAAAGGCAACCAAAAATATCATGATTCTCACAGCCCTGTGATGTTTCCTAGGCCATCCTTCTGAAACAAAAAAACGACAGAATTCTCTGTCAGTTACCGTTGCTATGAAACCTTCGATTTCCCCTTTCAGTGAGCGTGGGCCAGACATAGGGACCCTGTGGAACTTCTGGGAAGCACTTATGCAGTGAGGGCCTAGACTTGTGTCATCCTCATTTTGATGTGGTGTGCTCATGCATACGTGGTGTGTGAAGTAAAGCTTTTTGTGAGCAGATACATGGCTGCCCTGGACATCCTGGTGCCTGTTTCTCAGTGTGCATGGTCTCAGCGTGGCCACTTGCTGCTGTTGCTACTGCTGGGCAGCTGGTCCCGTAGTGTGTTCCCTTGTCTCCCAGATCTCCTCCTGCCTGTGTCTTCAGGCTCTGGTTGTATTTCTTTAGTTTAAGACGGTGGGCTTTCTTTTTTTTTTTGAGACGGAGTTTTGCTCTTGTCACGCAGGCTGGAGTGCAATGGCACGATCTCGGCTCACCACAACCTCCGCCTCCTGGGTTCAGGCAATTTTCTTGCCTCAGCCTCCCCAGTAGCTGGGATTACAGGCACGCTCCACCACGCCCAGCTAATTTTTTGTATTTTTAGTAGAGACGGGGTTTCACCATGTTGACCAGGATGGTCTCGATCTCTTGACCTCGTGATCCACCCGCCTCGGCCTCCCAAAGTGCTGGGATTACAGGCATGAGCCACCGCGCCCGGCTGATGGTGGTCTTTCTTAAAGGGCCTTCCAGCTAAACACAGTGCTCTGTTTTGTTGGCATCTGTATTAGGTTGTTTTCACACTGTTGATAAAGACATACCTGAGACTGGGCAACATACTAAAGAAAGAGGTTTAATGGACTCACAGTTCCACGTGGCCGGGGAGGCCTCACAATCATGGCGGAAGGTGAAAGGCACATCTCACATGATGGCAAACGAGAACAGTGAGAGCAAAAGGGATTTCCCCTTGTAAAACCATGAGATCTCTTAAGACTTACTCACTACAAGAAGAACAGTATGGGGGAAACCACCCCCAGGATTCAGTCATCTCCCACTGGGTCCCTCCCTCAACACAAAGGAATTATGGGAGCTACAATTCAAGGTGAGGTTTGGCTGGGAACACAGCCAAACCATAGCAGCATCTAATGGGCAAACCCCACTGTGAGTGTTTGCTCCTCAGCCTTCTCGAGTGTGTGGTTTTCTGGTCAGGTCTGTAGTGACGGTAGTGAAGAGAAGGGGCATTAGGACCCATCTGGGTTCCCAGTCTAGACTCTGCTGCGTTTAAGGCTGTGTGGTCTTAGGCATGTTAGCATCTCAGAGCTTCTTTTGTTTAGGAATAGTGATCTTCATTTCCTTGTATATCCATCTCTCTGGATCGTTAGATATGCTCAGCACAGTTCTTAGGACATACAACGACCAAACACAGTCAACTTTTCTATCTCTCGCCACTCCCAAGTGGTTTCTCTTGTTTTTTTTTCAATTGGAGTCCACAGAGAGGCAAGGTTACCTCTTGTGGATTTTGAAGTGTTTCTGTCTTTCTCAAATGTAAGGTTACCTCTTACATTTTGAAGTGTTTGTGTTTTTCTCTCCCTTCTTTGAGTTGATATAATTAAGCCTCGAGGTGATGGAGTGAAGTTTTTGAAACCTCGTGTAGCTTTTGGTCTCTGCTCTGGAAAACTTCAAGTGCTACTCAGTGATAGGGTGAGGTGTAATCTGATTGGATTTCTGCTGCACAGTCCACTTAAGCAACAGCCCAGCCACAGATAACAGCACGTCAGGGCAGAATGAGCCATAAAAACCTCAGTCTTGGCGGCAGCACACAAAAGGCAACACAAACACAGAGATAGGCTGGAAAAGATAAGTGTGGGAAGAGGAACTGTCTTATCGTCCACACAATTGAGAAACGTGTGAGAGTAAAAGCAGGAAACAGGGGTCAGAATCACAGGGGCTGTGCTGAAGATGCCGGCAGGAGGTTCCAGGAAGCCCTGGGGGGTAGCCAGAAGCAACAGGAATTCAGGAGGGACTCTGATCTTCCTTAAGAAGGGGCTGGGCAGCTGCAAAAGGACTTCCTCTTTGATAAGTATCTGGAGGGGTTATATTTTCATAAGAGCTCTGGGGTTGGTGCTTTGAAAGAGCCAGCTGGCCTTTTTACCTGGATGGGTCTGTTGACATTTCATCTGAGCTTGGCAATGCCTACTAGTTAGACTCTTGATAGGCAAAATCTTAGTCTATGCAATGCTGCCCTACCTTGGGATTGTAGCAGTTCCATTGGTTCAATGGAGGTGCACGTCCTGGAGAAAAAGAAAGAGATCTTGTTGTCAGTTGTACTTAAATCAATAAAATGTTTTCTTCCCTCGTCAGGGACATACTTCTTGATGGAAAGTAGCTTATCACCTCTGGAGCCTTGGGTCTCCAGGTGGCAGCCATGCTTCTGATTCTCCAGGGGCTCCGAGAGAACAGGTCGTGTTCTCATGCAGAAACCACCAGTGAAATAACTGACTAGTTTAGAATTCTGACATCTCCAGACACCTGCTGTACTGCACTTGTTTATTTATATTTGAACAGATAATTGTCCCAATATTATTAATCTATGCATCAAAAAATATAATAAATCAGATCTGTATCTTTCAAGAATTATAGTCTGGGAGTCAAATAGGGGAGATTAGAAAAATGATTAAAATATATAGAATATACAGTAAAAAGTGTCAAGTGGGCCGGGCGCGGTGGCTCAAGCCTGTAATCCCAGCACTTTGGGAGGCCGAGGCGGGTGGATCACGAGGTCGAGAGATCGAGACCATCCTGGTCAACATGGTGAAACCCCGTCTCTACTAAAATACAAAAAATTAGCTGGGCATGGTGGCGCGTGCCTGTAATCCCGGCTACTCAGGAGGCTGAGGCAGGAGAATTGCCTGAACCCAGGAGGCGGAGGTTGCGGTGAGCCGAGATCGTGCCATTGCACTCCAGCCTGGGTAACAAGAGTGAAACTCCGTCTCAAAAAAAAAAAAAAAAAAAAAAAGTCAAGTACTGGAGAAGAACAGCTAACGTGAGATGAGTATTTGAGAGATTTTCAAAGAAGACTTCTTGAGGGAGGTCATATTTTACCCGGGTCTTCAAAGATTTTCTGAAAGGCAGGGAGAGGAGGGCCTCAGAAGAGAGAAAGGCACTCCAGACACAAGATGCTGCATGGATTGCCATAGAGGCTGCAGGTGAGAGCCTGGATGCGGGGAGCAGCTGAGTGCCTGTGATAAACCACCTGCACAGGAGGTGAGGAGGGCTTTACCTAGGGAGGTGACCGAAAGGGTCAAGGATGTTGCAGAACTAACTTTTTGGTTGTGAGAGACCAGGACGAGAGAAAAGTCAGTTACTGCCAAGTTTCTGAGCTTGAGGGGGCCGGCGGTGCTGTTCATAAGAGAAGTGAACAAACAAAGAGGGAAGGAAGGAGCGTGATGGATCCTCTAGACACTGTAATCCTACCAAACCCGAGGTGCCGCAGGACATCCAGAGGGATGCACACAGCTGGGTTTTGGATGTGTTACTGCGGGTTTGAACTCAGAGAAGGGAGAGAGGCAAAGGCTTAGGAGTCGTTTACATAGAATTAATAGTTGAAAAAACAATAGATGAGCTTGCAAAAAGAGTTGCATTCTTGGAGATCATCATAGATTTTGGGAAGAGGGAGGGAAAAGCCAGAAAATATTATCATAGAAGAAGTGGTCTCAGGGAAGAAAACAGGAGGCTGGGTCATCTTGGCATTACAAGGAGGAAGGGCATCTTGGAGAGACAGGTAGGGAGTGTGAAAGAGGTGTGAAGAAAATTGAGGGCTGGGGCCGGGCGCGGTGGCTTAAGCCTTAATCCCAGCACTTTGGGAGGCCGAGGCGGGTGGATCACGAGGTCAAGAGATCGAGACCATCCTGGTCAACATGGTGAAACCCCGTCTCTACTAAAAATACAAAAAATTAGCTGGGCATGGTGGCGCGTGCCTGTAATCCCAGCTACTCAGGAGGCTGAGGCAGGAGAATTGCCTGAACCCAGGAGGCGGAGGTGGCGGTGAGCCGAGATCGCGCCATTGCACTCCAGCCTGGGTAACAAGAGCGAAACTCCGTCTCAAAAAAAAAAAAAAAAAAGAAAAAGAAAATTGAGGGCTGGGGAAAGGCCACCAGATATGAAAATGTCATGATGACCTCGGAAGGGACTGTCTTGGTAGAGTAGGGACAAAAATCATACAGCAAGAGATTAAGGAATGAATGGGCAGACATGAAGTAGAGGTGGTGAACAGAAATTATGCTTTCAGACGTTTTGGTGATGAAGTTTAGCAGGTAGCCATCTGAATAGGAGCAAAATGGCAGAAAGAAAAGACAACCGTGTTAATCTATTCTCACACTGCTATAAAGATAACTACCTGAGACGGGGTAATTTATAAACAAAGGAGTTTTTATTGACTCACAGTTCCACATGGCTGGGAGGCCTCAGGAAACTTAGAATCACGGCAGAAGAGGAAGCAGGCACCTTCTTCACATGGTGGCAGGAGAGAGAGTGAGCGAAGGGGGAAAACCTCCTTAAAAAGCCATCATATCTCATGAGGAATCATTATCACAAGCACGGGGAGAACTGACCCCATGATGCAATCATCCAGTCGTCTTCCACTGGGTCCCTCCCTCGACATGTGGGGATTATGGGTATTATAATTCAAGATGAGATTTGGGTGGGGACACAGAGATAAACGATGCCAATAACTGATGGAGTGAAGACTGGGGGCAGGTTGGCAGGGACAGCACATTTTCTGTGGAGGGACCCCAGAAGGAAGAAGGCCCGGAGTGCAGAGAGAGCTTGAGGAAGAGAGGGAACAAAGGTGCTCACGTAAAGATGTGGATGAGGGCGAGCCCTGAGCTGGAAAACTGGAAGGTCTGGGACAAAGACGCTGAGGAAAAGGAACGCCGAGCCTTTGGCAGGACATGCTGGGCTCAGGTAATTGATTTGTAGGGGCCCTGTTGCCCAGCTTTGTGACCTTCCTCATGAACCCTTGGCAGTTAAGAAGGGGAAAATGTGAATATTGTGCTCTGCTCAGATGGGCAAATGAGATGGAAGAACAAGCAAAGTGATCCTGAGTATGAGGAATGTGGATGAAGGATTGAGCACACTCAGGGTCCCGAGGGTCTGAAGCAAGGTAGCCAAGTTGGCCTGTTCCCTGTGAAGCAACAGCACACACAGGGCAAGAGCAAGGGCAACAGATCACCACGCAGAAGTGAAACAGATGGAAAATACACGTGTTCCCCAAAGCAGTGGAGTTTACATTGGTTTCCGCTTTCTCCCTCAAATTCAATCGAATCTCCAAGAAGCAAAGACGGAGGAATCCAAGGGAATGATGGCCTCTGAGAAGTGCAGGGGGAAAGGAGGAAATGGTCTAAACGGGTGTGGGGGACGAGGAAGGAGAGAGTGGCAAGGCCAGGTGAGATGGCCATGCATCTGGGGACAGAACTAGAGGGGAGACGCAGGGCCTCTCAACGACATGTTTCATCGTCACCTCCTCCCCTGTGTTTCCTCTCTTTAGGAGCTGTTACAGGCAAAACAGGATCTTCAAGATCTGCTGATTGCCAGGGAGGAGCAAGAAGACCTCCTGAGAAAGCGAGAGCGTGAACTCACTGCCCTGAAGGGAGCCCTGAAAGAAGAGGTTTCCAGCCACGATCAGCAGATGGACAAGCTGAAGGAGCAGTACGACGCCGAGCTGCAGGCCCTGCGGGAGAGTGTGGAAGAGGCCACCAAGGTGAGGGGTGGGGCGGAAGAATCTGGCTTGGGAACAGAGGAAAGGGTAAGACCCGCTCTCCCACACCATGCAAATTCCCTTCCTTCCTTTTAATTAGAGAGTGAATCTTAGTTCATCGGTTCATGGACACAGAGCTTACTAACCAAGAGTAAGTGCAGTGGTCCTGATGGAGACCTTTTAAAGTCTATAAGCCGAAATGTTGCTGGGGACATTGGTTACATCCTGTTGCAGGAGGGGAGATGAAGAGGCCGCAGATCTTCATCTGCAGCCGCTTGCAGACTGGAGGGCTGCACTCTCCCAGGCGTTCCTAACCGTCGGAGGCCGGGGGCATTGTGCGACCGTGTTACTGGGCAGAAGCGCAGATGGGACCCAGATTCCTGGAGTCCTTCACCCCCACCCTAGTCTGCTCCTTTTGATTTTGTGTAGACTTTGTGAGACAATTCAGGTTCTTTTCTCAGCACAGTTACAAGAGATTTAATTGGCTGAATTGCCTAAACCCTTTCACGATAGTTTTTCTCCTAATTGAATTCTTGGCTCCTACAAATAGATTCAAAATTATGCTGAAGTCTTTGAAGGCGGACGTCATGTTGGCTGTGGAAGAAGAGAAAGAGTATTTTGGAGGGGAAGATGGTTTGAAATGTCATGCCATCTTTAGGGAAAGCGGGGAATTACAGAGTACAGCGTTTTTAGAGACTCTGCAATATACAGGTTAAAAATGCTGAAGAAGGAACTCTTGATATTGTTTATTCTGTGCCGATGACAGTGTTCTCTCTCCCCTAAGCCCTATGGTGATTCACTGATTTTCAATTACGGCACGGTAATTGCAAATGACAAGAGGTGAAAGATGGGTTTGTTTGTTATAACAATAAAAAGTCTGGGAAATAGTCTGTTTGGGGTTATTACAACTTTGAGACCGTTTTTAAAAGCCTCTTGTTGATTTCCCTATCTTAGTCTTTTTTTTTTTTTTTAAATAAGGTTTGATTGAATTTAAGGGAGAAAAGCAAACCCGACATAACTTGTGTTGCTTCGAGGGGACCTGGCTGAAATTTGCATCTCGTTTCATTTCTGTACAACAGCCTGGTATTCTTGGGATCGATCTTTATGTGCTGTTGCTTCATCAGGTCCATGCCAATAGGCGACTAAGTAAACTGAGTCTGCTTTGGACACATTTCTTTATCACTCTTAAATCTGAAAGTTCAAGTCACTGTGGTGTATTCTGGGGTGGCTACTTTACAGGTAGGTGACAATAGTGTTGGGGGGTATGTTTGTAGTGATTTAAATATAAGGAAAATCTGCCGGGCGCAGTGGCTCAAGCCTGTAATCCCAGCACTCTGGGAGGCCGAGGCGGGTGGATCACGAGGTCAAGAGATCAAGACCATCCTGGTCAACAAGGTGAAACCCCGTCTCTACTAAAAATACAAAAAATTAGCTGGGCATGGTGGCGCGTGCCTGTAATCCCAGCTACTCAGGAGGCTGAGGCAGGAGAATTGCCTGAACCCGGGAGGCAGAGGTTGCAGTGACCTGAGATCGCGCCTTTGCGCTCCAGCCTGCGTAACAAGAGCGAAACTCCGTCTTAAAAAAAAAAAAAAAAGGAAAATCACACTTGTGCCTTGCATGGGGTGGGGGCTGTTTTGTTGGAAGCTTTCAGGTTGTCTCCTGTCAGAGACATGTAAGTGAGGAAAGGAAACACCGTCGGTGAAAGGAATTGAGAATTCCACACACTTTGCTGTGTGGAACTGAGCTCATCAGTAGAGACTTAGGTTACTGCGTTGTGGGCCTTTCACATGTCTGCATTACATATTAACTCACAGTGTTTTCATTATGCTAGTTCAAGAGAGATAACGACATTGACCCATATCAGTAGAACAGGCGAGGGAGTCAAGATGTGTGTCATTGGCAGAGAATGGGCAGTTTCTGAGCGCTGGGAAGCTGACACAAAGGGGTAGGGGTTCGGCTTAGTACCCACTGGGGTGTGGGCCAGCAAGGACTCTTTGTTCCAGGTGCCGCTGCCAGCATCTTTCCTTAAAAAAACAAAGCTGATCATGTCAGCCTCTGCTTAAGTAACTTGCTTGGCTCCCCATTGCCCCAGACTGAAGCTGAAAATTCTTAGCATGGTGGGCAGTCCAAGTCCCTTCTCTGCCCATCCCATCTCCAGAAAACTCCCCATCTTTCAGCTGTCTCACCCCTTCATACGTGTAGAGTGACCTGCTCCTGCTTTGCCACGTGACCAGCCTCTTCTCCTCCTGCAAGACCTTCTCCAAACGTTCCCTCTTTTGTGAACATGCCCTAGATACCGAAGATAACTCCCTTTGGTGGGGTTAGCTGCACCTTCCTTCCCCTTCCTTAGGGTTTCTGTGGAACCCTGGCCATTCTTCTGCTACCCTACTGTAATTTCTCATCCTGTCTGCCTTGTCCATTAGACTCTACACTTCTTAGGCTCATGGGACAGTTTTGTTCCTCCCTCCCGACTCTTTTTTTCCTGGAAAGGAAGTGACGAACTCCAGGACCTCTGGGGCCAGACAGAGCATAAATAAGTAAAGCTCTGAGTTTGTTATTGGGCTGATAGGTGGGTATGGTGGGGACTTTGACAAGCTGACTGGAAGGCATGTTCTTTGCTGGAGGGGTCAGTGGCTTCTCCGCTGCAGCTGAAAGTTGCCACTGACGGAATGCTGGGCCCATGTTGCTAGATCTTTCATTTTTTTCAAGACGCCAGATATCTGGATGTTTCTGTGAGATCTCCCAACTTTTAAGCCTATCTTCAAATTATAAAAAAATAAAATAAAATAATAGACCACTGCACTCCATATGCAGGTCAGGAGGAGCCTGTGCTCTTAGCCCCTTGAGCTCAGCATAGTGCCTGGCACATAGTGCCTGTGCAGTGTCTGGCAAGTGAAAGTTGGTTGAGGACAAATTTCCCTTCCAACTGGGTTTTCAGTCCCTGCCATTTAGCTCCTGTTGAATTTTTCCAGTGGTGATGTGGGAGGTCTTTTAGGGAACTCTGCTATTGTTCTGTGAATTTCTGTGCCTTGCTTTTGAACCCCTCCCTCCCTCCCTCCCTGCCTCCCCTTCTCTCTTTCTCTCTCCTCTCCTCTCCTCTCCCCTCCTCTCCCCTCCTCTCCCCTCCTCTCCTCTCCTCTCCCCTCCTGTCCTCTCCCCTCCCCTCCCCTCCCCTCTCTTCTCCCTTTCTCTCTCTCCCTCTCCTTCCCCCCTTCCCTCCTTCCTTCCTTCCTCCTTCCCTCCCTCCTCCCCCCTTTCTTTCTTTCTTTAATTCTTGCTCTGTCACCTTGGTTGGAGTACAATGGCACAATCTCCACTCACTGCAATCTCTCCCTCCCAGGTTCAAGCAGTTCCAGTGCTTCAGCCTCCCAATTAGCTGGGATTACAGGCATGTGCCACCATGCCTGTCTAATTTTTTTGTATTTTTTGTAGAGATGGGGTTTTGCCATGTTGACCAGGCTGATCTTGAACTCCTGGCCTCAAGTGGTCTCCCCACCTTGGCCTCCCAAAGTGCTGGGAATGCAGATGTGAGCCACTGCACCCGGCCTCCCTGCAGTTTCATAAAGAGAATCCTGATTGTGCTTTTTTTTTTTTTAACCATATTAGTTTTTGCTTCTGAAGGTGGCTGTTGAACAAATGTAATAGTCATATTTTTTTTTTTTGAGACGGAATTTCACTCTTGTTACCCAGGCTGGAGTGCAGTGGCGCGATCTGGGCTCACTGGAACCTCCGCTGCCTCCTGGGTTCAGGCAATTCTCCTGCCTCAGCCTCCTGAGTAGCTGGGATTACAGGCACGCACCACCATGCCCAGCTAATTTTTTGCATTTTTAGTAGAGACGGGGTTTCACCATGTTGACCAGGATGGTCTCGATCTCTTGACCTCGTGATCCACCCACCTTGGCCTCCCAAAGTGCTGGGATTACAGGCGTGAGCCACCGCGCCCGGCAATAGTCATATTTTATGGGGGACAAATGTTTCAATTTACTAGATGGATGCTGTTTTGGATTATATTATTTATGTGTTGTATTATAGAATAGAATTTTAAGATGATTCTATTGACTATTTGGAGGAGAGTAAATTAAGTATAATTTTTAAATCTGTAAAATAATGTTTCTTAAATATGTGCTGTTACACTTAGTTTTTACCTGCCCCAGTGGGAGAACCACCCACCCACCACTGTGGCTAAGGCTTTTTTATTTTTTTTTTCTTTGAGATGGAATCTCACTCTGTTGCCCAGGCTGGAGTGCAATGGCTCGATCTCAGCTCACTGCAATCTCCACCTCCTGGGTTCAGGTGATTCTCCTGCCACAGCCTCCTGAGTAGATGGGAATATAGGCATGCACCACCACATCTGACTACACTTTATATTTTCAGTAGAGATGGGGTTTTGCCATTTTGGCCAGGCTGGTCTCGAACCCCAGAACTCGGGGGATCCGTCTGCCTTGGCCTCCCAGAAAAACTGACATTTCTTTAAGAAATGTTATTGCATTGAAAAGTTTATTTTTTCTATAGGTGTTATGAAGCAGCGTGACCTTGTCTCATCAGTTTTTCTTACTCTTGCCACTGTCTCGGTGCCAAAAGTCCCTAAAGTGCTTTTTAATCATCGTAAAATAACAATCACTTCATCCTAGCTCGAGCCTGAGCACTAAAAGTTTTACATTACTAGAACATTTCGTGAAAAATGTCAAATTATATTTAGAACATTGCACGGGTATTCCAAACAGCTATTCTGTAATACAGTGTATTTTGTAGACTCCAACAGCCACCTCCTTTTAAGAATAGATTGATTGCTCAGGTGATGGGATTCCTGAATGCCTAGGTTGTGTGGGGTTTCCTCACCCAGCAGAAGGAATTGCGTGTTACTGGCAGAGCGGTGGTGGTTTGGGTTATCAAGTTTCTCTTCTTATAGACAAATGGATCTTCGTAGTCTGTTAGAAAGGCAATTATTTGTACCAGACATTCTTCTAAAGGACTAAGTACTTAAGCAACGTATTTCATACCGT